TTCCTACGTAACTCCAAACAGCCTCAGGGGCCTGGGTTACTTCACTGGTGACTTTTCTTTCCCTTTTGTGGGTGGAGGAGGCAGAGGATGAAGGAGGTGCTCAGTGAGCATCACCGTCTTGTTTCACAGCACAGCCTGGCAAGGCTACAGTGGTGAGGCATGTGCTGCTGCTCTTATTTTTAAAAAAAAGTGTCGTACTGGGGGAATGTTTTGTTTTGTTTTGTTTTGTTTTTACAACTTGCTCCCTTGTGCCAAAGAGAGGGGATTTTCTTCACTTTGTGGATGCATGATTTAAGAGGCACTCTACTCTAATGCCTTCATGGCTTGAAGATCTAGTGTAGAGCTATGACATTAGTCCTTCCAAAATGCCAGAAAAACTAATTTATTGCAAGTATAAGTATCCTGGGGCTCACAGCATGCAAAGCTAACCAGACTAAGAAAAGTAAGGGAACTGAAGGAGGAGGAAGGAAATTCATGTTTCAGGTAATGATCTGAAAGGTCATTCAAGGAGGGAAGGGATCCTTGGAAGTATAAAATTTTTGTGTTGAATTGTGTCATACATACAAGAACAACAGTCTAACAGGAACGTGGGGATTTCTTTTGCCTGGATATTAATACATATTTACCCTATGGTTGCTACAGCCTTTAGCCAGCAGAGCTGAAGCCTCTCCATGTAAAACCGGGGGGCGGGGGGGGGGAAGATGCTTCCTTCCAGCTTTATTAAACTCTGAATTTTATCAAAGATTATTCAGTTGGAACCCGAGCTGAGGCCTATGGACAGGGTTGATGTTATGGTTTCTGGCAATTCTAGATGGGACTGAAATGCAGTTGGACATAAAAGAAAGACACAAACCAGCAGAGTCTTTAGCTGGTGTGTTTATGTAAAGTAAACATGTTTGAATTTATCTGGAAAAACATCCTGGTGCTGGCAGTCATCCTAAAGATCACTTTCCTGTCTCTCGGTAAGGCTTATAGGAAGAAGGAATTTTTTTCCTACTGGCTTGTTGACAGTAAGTTTTTATTATTGTAATTATTATTATGTTTTAAAAACTAAGGAATATGCTACAGGGTGATATTTAGCAAGTTGAATGTTTTGGTGTAGGAAACATAATAGTTACTGCAGCTATTTTATGCTAACTGCTAAGCAAATTCCTCTCGTATACACAGTTGCTGTGGTTTCGGTCTCCATCAAATTATGAGGGGAGGGTGGGGGGAAGAAAAAAGACTTTTTTTTTTTTAAAGCTATGAAGTATTTATTTATCATCTTCCAACTGCGAATCTACAAGTTCTTTACTAGTATCTTAATGACCTGTGTCCATGACATAGGAAGTCTTGTCCCTGTTTTACTCATGGGAAGATGGAAATGTAGACCACTGAGGTGTTTTACCCATAAGGATTAGGGTGAGCAGCTGCTGAAGTATAACAACGGAGGCATAGCTGAATATTGGAGGCTGGCCGGATGACTACGCATCTGCCTTCAGGAAGGTGGCCAAGGAAATGTAGATGTGCCTCAATGGAGGTTTCTTCTAACTGCTCTTGAGAACAGCATCCACGTGATGGAGTGAAGCTGGGTATCTGCCAGGCTTCTCATGAGTCTTCTGCTGCCCTTGTTGAGCTTGGTGCTGGCTTGTGATTACTACCCAAATCAGCTGATTTAAAGCTAGCTCATGTATCTGTGCATTACGCAGAGGAGTGTAAGCGTATCCTAGATCCTGCAATTAGCAGAGTCTATAATGGATGAACAGTTGAATAAAAACAATGTCCTCTGCTCTACATAGCACAGTATGTAAATACTGCTTTGGATTTTTGTTAATTCCCTAAAATTTACCATTTCTCTCCTACTCTGGTGTATGTGTGATTCTTTCATAAGTGTGGTTTTTATCCCATTAGCAAAATCATAGCAGATTCCTGGTGATATTTCTCCTTTTTCCAAAGTGCTTGTTCACAGTTGTTTAATAACGATCCTTTCACGGTTGTGCACTGATTATTTTTAGTCATCAAAAATGGACATCATCAGGTTTTTAAAGCTTTTTACATTAGATTCTCGTGTCGTTGAAACTTCCCTGTGGGTTGGTTCTTGGGACCATAATTGAGGTCCTCTAGCTGTGATTTCAGTGGCTCCATGAGGGTGTCTGGCTGTCATCATAGCAGGGAAAAGGAGGCATTGGGGCCAGGGGGTGTTCCTAGTTTTGTAATAAATTCTCCGCCTGACTGGCGGCCATTCATCATGTTAAGAAAAGGTTTTAGCTGTTCCCTTCAGAACACTGACATCAATTAAGTTATCCATACATCATTCCAGCATTCAGGCTTTATTAGAGCTGTGGTTCCTACGGTTTGCTCCAGATGTCAGTGCTATGATGGTCCTCAAAGCCAAGACTTATTTACACCTGCTGTCCTAGATTCTGGTACCCTGGTGTGCTTTTGTTGATTTCAGCATGTTCTTCACTTATTGAAGGTGTGGTTCTCTTTGTGGCTTATTCACATTAAATAAATCTGTGTGTAGGTGGTGATATGAACACGTAGGTGACTGGTAAAGGACCCGTTATATCTTCTCCACCTGTCTTAGTGAGCTTGCCTGAGATAGGGGTCGACCTACCTCATGATGTCAAGCAACTATTTGCCAAACACTTGATGAATGGAATTGGTCCATGGAGTTGGTTCGCAGATGCTGCATGAGCCCTCTGAGCTTGCAGAAGCTGAGAAATCATAGTCCAGTGCCAAACAGCTCTTGTGGCTAGAAGAATAGGTCCTTGCGCCATACCTCTGGGTAATCGCCAGTAGCTCCCTCTCCCCTGCAGACACTGTTTAGCAGCTGCTAGCCTGATTTCTGCTTTTTTTCACTAGAGTGGCAGGCCAGCACCACATGGCATTGAACCTTGTGGGTAACTCTTTGAGTTCCCGCAGTCGAACGGGACTTCTCAGGAAGGACTCTGCCTCTCAGAGGGTCAGCCCAGGGACGTGCCTTTTATCCAAAGCTGAGTTTTTGACAGCGGGGCATGCTCTGCTGTGTATCAGCCAGCTTGCTGGCAGAAGGTAGCTGTGCATTTCACTCCTCTGCTGGCTATTCATGTTTGACGGCGCACGTTATCCTTTATCCCTGTAAATGTCAGAGGGACGCGCCGTAGGGCTCCTGCACCATTGACGTCAGTGGCACTGCACACAGCTCGCTGGTGCCTTTACACAGATGCCTGCAACAGCAGCTTCTGCGTGATGTCTTTTTGGAGGAGTGACCCATCGGGGCTTGTTGGTCTTTGCCTTATCTTGGGTGTTGACTCTTAGTAATTACTCCCAGCAACTGCCCTTCCATCTCAGGGCTGTCAGTATGTTTTATGAACACATACGTACCCTTCAAACAAGCCAAAGTAAAACTAGTATTGTTAAGGGAGCAATTATATGGCAACCCAGACCTTGTGCTCCATTGACCCGCTGCTCTTTTTTGAACCACTTGTGCTTTCCTATTAGCTCATGCCTCCCTTTTAATGACACTTTATATGGATTATTAGTATGTGTTACTGATGCTGCATGTAGTCTAATGAAGCAACAACAGCCAAGGTGCAAAGTGTCTCCTACGGATTAATGAGGTCTTGAAAGAAGGTGACTGCCCACTGTGAAAAGATTATCAAGTTGAATCACTTATTTATCACCTAGATGCAGCTCTTACTAGTACCATTCTTGATAGGAGAGAAAAAATCAAGCACATGAAAATGCAAGAGGATCATATTTGTTTGAGAGGATCCATGTTTAAATCTTACAGGTTTTTTTTTAAAATTATTATACATTGGCAGGTATTTAGGAAACAGTTAAATTGTTTGAATTAATGGCCAACAGTTCTAGACCCATATAAACTTACATAGTGTTAGTGCATCTGCAGTTTTAGACTAGCCTATCAATAGTTACTTTCCTGATTGTTGGAATTTTACTTTCCTAATCTTTGGGGGAAGGGTAAATTATTAATTTTTTTTTTTTTTTTTTTTTTTTGCTATAGAGTTGGAGAATCTCAGCTTGGTTTTGGCCATGGTTTTATATCTCTGCATCACACTATAAATAAATAGTAGTGGTTAGAGACTACTGTCTTTTGAAAAAGCATTTAATTTTTGTTCTTGAGAGATGATCTGTGCCTTAAAGCTGTAAGCTGAGGAATCTCACTATCTCTGTGTTAAGGCTTCATTTTTTAGATAGCGGAAAAGTGTTTCAATTCTTTCTGGTAATGTTATAGTTTGAGGTAGCTGGAGCTTTCTGTACACTAGATATTTTATCTTTTTACCGTTTAATAGTCTGACCCCATTCAGAAAACATTTCAGACTGCATATCAGTTATATTATTAATGGCAGTATTGATTTATAAGATCAGCTTTAAAAAATGACTTGGTGTTTTACAAGAAAACCATCAAAAGGATTAAAGTGCTTTCTCTTTGTACATCTACTCTTCTATCCATTGAAAATGATGATTAAGTCAAATGTCATTGGATTATCATTCTTGCTCTAAGGAACTGTGTATAATTATATATCCTGATAAAGGCATGTTCTTTTTACTTTGGGGAATAGATACGCTGATGTTGCATTACCTGAAGATGTGGAATGATTACTCCCTGATGTTAACGTAGAGATTGCCTATGGCTAGGCAATAAAAGCATGCCTTGTTTGCTTTTTTTTTCTTAATCTGCATGCAGAATAGATATAGGTGCTATAAGAGAATAAAGCAAAGACATAGGAGAGAACCTTGTTGTTGCTTTTTGGAGCAGGTTGTTACTCTACTATTTATTAAAGCTGCATGAAACAATATAAAGTGTTGATGTTTATGAGAAGCGTTGTTTATAAAATTAAATATTTCCCCACCCTTCTACCACCATGACTAAGATACTTTAAATTTTATTTTCCTTCCTAAAACATTTCTTCCCCTCCTTTCTTTCCCCCACCCTGACATTATGTAGTTGATTTAATTCTCTAGGTTCCTTTCCTCAAGCTCTAACTTGAGTTCATTTTGTTATGTGGTGACCACAGTTATGGATGACGCTCCCCCTGGCACACAGGAGTACATTATGTTACGGCAAGATTCGATCCAATCTGCGGAATTAAAGAAAAAAGAGTCCCCTTTTCGTGCTAAGTGTCACGAAATCTTCTGCTGCCCACTGAAGCAAGTGCACCTCAAAGAGAACACAGAGCCGGAAGGTTTGTGGCACTATGGATCCATGTTCTGTTTGTTTCTATTATTTTTATTTTTCCATGTATGTCCCTAGAGTGTGCTGTGTGTTTTCCAGCCTGTGTCAGTGTAGTGCAACTGATGCAGGAAGCGTGATGCACTCCATGTCCCCCTTTGCTTGCCTGTTAGTGTCTGATTCAGCTATCATGGGACACTATAATATAAGCCATGTACGGTATCGTTCTAGTCAAGAAGTAAAATGATGCTGCTTTTTCTTAAATAAAGTTTGTTTGTTTCAGCTCTCATCATTACACACTGCCCTTTTTTTGGCTGCCAAAAGTTGCTTGCTACTTAAATGGCATCAGTTTCTAGTTGGTTCTTTCCAGTAACATTTCTGAAGCTGCACTCTGCTGAAAATATGGCACTTAGACTCAGATTCAGCTTGTCCCCAACACCTTTCACTCCATAAGGCTTCTGCATAGCGCTAGAGAATGCTCATGACAGCTGTACTTCAATGAAGCAGGATGAAGTTTGTATGTAATGCACGCCCAGTTGCATTTTGGAAAATGAAATGCATGCAGAGCAGAAAAAAATAAGTAGAATGTTTTCCTTTTCAGATAAAGCAAAGGTATGGTCTCTTCTAATGCTGTGTTTACTAATATGACATTACTAATGAGGTATCTATATCTTTAACTTGTTTGTCTAGCGTACATAAGATTAAGCTATTTTAAATTATATTTTTTAATATTTTCTCTTATTGTACAATATGTGTTTTGCATTACTGCCTCATATTCTACATAAGCCTTGTACTTTTTGCATAAGCTCCAGTATCTGCCAAGACAAATAATGCTACTGCTGGTAGATGTATTTTAAGATGAAATATTCAGAGCTGGATTCTGTCACAATTGAGTCTGCAGGAACGGCAAAGTGAGCAGGTTGGAGCCCTTTCTCGCAAATCACTTGTATTATTCTCTCTGTAATGATGGGCATCAGTTGCTGAGCTGTCACTGTTAGCCCAAAATATTTCAGTCAATTGCTTTCTCCTGGTACATACCCCAAATTTTGCATGAATGTTCTTTGCATCACTTCTGGGAGATCTGTCTTTTATTTAAAAAGTATTTACTAAAATAGCGTTTCTTTCTCATCTCACCAGAAATATTAAGTCTGACACAAACACTGGTGGAAGGTGTGGAGAGAGGTTTTTTGTTTCAGTGATGATATAACTGAATATTAAAACTGGGTTTTGAAAACACAAAGCCTAATTCTCCTCTCAGTTCTGGGGCTGACTTGATAGGAGTTGTGTTTTCGTAATTCTGAACTCACTAAACATGAAGGAAAGGTGAATCCCATACCACTTTTCTGGATAGCAAATACAATTAATTTCCTATGTCTGTCAGGATTTGTGGTGTTCATGAGTAAATTATGAGCCCAGAACTGTTTATGTCAAGTTCCTCTAGGAATATGATGACAGCTGAGGTGCTCAGCATCCTTGGCAAGTGATATTTGGTGAAATGAAAGGTTCCATGTGAGCCATAAAGAGAAGGGCCCTGAACTTGGCATCGTTGACTCACGTGCTGTATTTCACTTTTTCTTTGTGCTTATGTGGAACTCCAGCAGAAGCTGATGGTCATTTCAGTGGAACTTATACTGGGAGCTG